TGTACGGTAGTTTTACGGTAGTAGAAGTGGTTTTGTTGAATGCCCAGATGAGAATATGTATTGGTTTTTTCTTTGCAGTGCAAGTGATCAAAAAATATAGTATAGAGCACGATCAAGAAAATAACATTCACTGATGTTGAAAATTTTGTAAAATATATGGAAGGAAATTCCGAAACATCTCTTTTGGTCTTTTCTTCCGAGAGTACTCCCAATCACCTTCATTATTGCGTATGGGATTTTGCGGATTTGTGAGATTAGAATCATGTCAAAGTGTAAGTATGATTTTGTTATTAAAGTCCAAAAGTAATAAGATAAGCGAAGCTCTGCGCTGAAAAACTTGGCACTGGCCAAGCAATATATTTTTAATCCAGAATGACGTTTGCGCCGTTTCTAGAAAACATTTAAAAAAAGCAAATGATTTCTTATTGTAAACCCACATTACACATTAATATAAAGTTTGATCCAATGCATTTCGTTGTAGCAAAAATTAATAAGAAGTGAACTCGTTCTTAACGAACAAATGTCCAGACTTCCACCTCCATCTTAAAAAAAAAATGGTTTCTAGAAAGAAGATGGACCTTCAGACGAGTCTGCTCAATCAGGTGCTGAAAATGTTAAAAAGCGCAGCAGTTCGTCAGATTCGGATGAGAACTTGGCTATTTTAAGAGAAAAAGAAGTAGGTTTCTGATTTTCTACGTATAACTATTATCAGACTAAGGTTCTATTTACAACTTTATTCAGAAATTAAGGAGGGAGGAGGCCAAAAAGCAGAAGCCATTGTCCAAGAGGTCTCATAAGGTCAGTTCTTGGCACATACATGGAATCTGGTGCAGTCGTAAATGCTCAACTTGAATTTTTCTCTGGTACATTATGTATTCTTTGGGTATCTTCGTTTTTAAAGAATAAACATGATAAAGAAAAGGAAGCGTCTGAACAGTCATCGGAGGAGGAGTCGACGAAGAAGGTGCAAACTAATAATTTAATTTGCATTGTACTGCTATTCCTTGAGCATTCATTCGTTTCCAGAAATCTCAGAAGAAAAGAGGGCGACAAAAGGAAGCTCATGAAGCGTCGCAGGTCACTTTTTTCAACTACAACTTTCGCACACTTTTTTTTGTTTCCCTCCTTAGAACATTTCTTTAAGAAATATCTTGCCATTTTACCCCTTTGTTCCCCTGTTTCCTTTCCATAAAATCATTCGCATATTGATCTTATTTTTGATTTGAACTGCAATGATATTTTAGAGTGCTGCTTCTGTTCGATTGTCGAAACTAAAGAAGATGGTGATTTTAGCGGGATTTCGGTACGTTGACTAAAACCGTTATTTTGTCATAAACAAAGTTACATTGTTTATCTCTCTAGGATCCCATACAAGAAGCTATTTGAAGATGTGGCAGATTCTGATCGCCAAAGGGTAAAAGCTCTGGAAAAGGAGATGGAAAGACGAGGACTAACTCGTACGCTTTGATCTTATATTAAGGATGTCACTCTGAAAGCCTATTCCAGCTCCTTTCACCATGGAATCCTGTAAAGCGTTCAAACTGCGGAAGGAACAGGAAAGCGAACTAGCAGAGCTGTCAAAAAACAGTATTATCGATTTAGGTGAAGAAACGCGTGAGTTCTATTTTTTTCTTAGCAAACATCTTTCACTGGTAATTTGCGGAGAACACACAATAAAAGGCTCTATAATGCCTTATTGTTCGTTTTCCTCGTTTCAGCTAGTTCCAATGTATGATGTCACTTGTAAATTAAGTGTTTTACGGTGTAAATTTATAAAATTCACTGGGCAGAGCACATGTTATCTGGAATTTGTAAAATTTGAAGTGGCATCTGTGAGGTATAACTTCATTTTTTCACACTTTTAACACTTTGGATACTGATCGAACGCTTGCGCTTTCTTGACGATCACATCATGGGCATAATTTGTTGGCTTGCGAACATAGACTGGAATCCTCTTACCGCTTAGGGGATGAGCAGTGGTAAGAGAAATGGTAAAGAGAGGTCCTTAGTCGGTTTCCCTAGGCTTTGATAGTATTGTGTTCAAAAGTGCAACTCTTTGGGAATACTTGACAACTTTTGCAGATGGTAGAGTTACCCGACGACAACATCATGAAGCGTTAGCTCGTAAAAGCCACAGAGAAATTATTTTCGAGGAGAGCAGTTCTGAAGAAGATGAAGAAGAGATAGAGGAGATTGAGCATATGAAGGAAGAAACTCAAAATTTGTTTAAGAATTTGCGAGGCATTGTTAGTGATGATGCAGATTCGGACTGAAGTGGTTGAGTGGTTGATCTCAAACGTTTGCGTATGCCATGATTGTTTCATTGTGCTTGGAAATTTTATCGAACTTTGCATCACCTATTCCTATGCTGTAACTCCGACGTCTAATGTTTCACTTTGCGAATTTTCCTCATGTTTGTTGATTATTCCATCTGTTGCAACCAGAATAAATTAGCGATTATCATCTACAATTATATTACAATTATTACTCTTGCCGTAGATGAGTTTGAAAAAAGTTAGACTGATTGTGTTCGAATTCCAGATGTAGTTTGGCAATTCGTCATTATCTGGCACATGATCACAGGAACCTACCCTCTTTTTGCTTCATTGTTTATTATCGAACTGTGGGGGCAGAATGTGATTGTTCTTTCAAACTTTTCTACGACCGGTTTCGTAATCATAGCACAAATACTCTAATGAGTGCCGTTTTTCACTGTTTTTCATTTGTAAATGTAATCATAATCTTACGTTGTCTTATTATTTTAGGGATTGTGCACTGGAGTTCTTAGTACCTTGCTGCCTTTTCCTAGAGCAAAAAATTAGGTCGCAACCCCTCCTGCAGCGCCCTACATCCTTATCTCTCATTGATAGGAATACATACGGTATCTAGCTTGTAAAGTGTAAGAGATAAGAGGGTAAAATTAGGGTTAACAAAAACTTGAATTGAAACCTTAATGTCATGAAAATCTGTTATCATGATTGACAGACTTCCTACAGATCTTATTATGTGCTGGGATTCATTTCTGGGTTCTACTGATTCTTTACTTTGAAAAAACGAGTTTTGAGCAGAATTATGTGATGGCTACAACCTTTTCATTTAATACATAAGTTTAAATC